ATTTGTTAAGAGTGCTCAAAATTATGCTATTAAACCTGAAAAAAGGTTCGTTGCTTTAATTGAGACCAGCGTCTCCGCTCTACAGTGGTACTATTGTCATGTCTGTAGGTGTTGTGTGTTCTGAGATGAAAACAGGAACAGGAAAAGCGTGACACCGCACTGAGAACAATACTCGTTCTTCCTACCACCACGAAGGTGAAGTGGGATGGTAAAGAACGAGTAAAAATAATGTGGAAACAGAGTTAAAATTGCATGAATATTTCTTATATTCATCCTGTGAACATTTGACGTTGAGTGGACATTGTTTGTCCTCGGCAGTGCTTTGAAGCATGGCACCTAAAACAACTGTGATGTCAAAGAGAAGAGTTGGTGTCACGTGATAGATGTGGACCAAAATTCTGTTTTTACCCTGTTGCAGGAAGACTGTCCAATAGTTGCATCTGTCCTTGACACAGGCTATGTGTTACCTGCATACTGAGTTGGCATCACAGCACACAGCATGAGAAATGGCCCTTTTTTTCTCATGATCACAGAAAAGAATCTGGTAAGTTTTGACTTTTGATGAAATTAACAGAAGATGCCAATACATTATGATAGATGTTTAGTAAAAGTCTATTTTAGTATTGTTCTTACTGTATTTGGAAGTTACTTGTAATTTCTTCTTTTATTTTATTTTTTAAATTTATATACACATTGAGTAAGACGAAAAAGTACGAAGTCTAATTTCTTTGAAAGTTTAGTTCTTTGCATTGACCATTTATCAAGTTGTCATTTCTAAATTGTTTTCTAAATTAAATTGCCATTTATTTGTTGCTTCTAAGCTTTATGACTTAATCCTAAAATACGTATGTAGTTGTGTGTCGATTTTAGTGGAGGGAAGTGAGAGAGGCAAATCATCAGAGAGTCAGTTACAGTAATGCTGTTATTTATTTCATTTGTCTGGTACAGTCGTAGTAGGAAGTGATGCTGCTTCTTGTCCAAAGGGATGTGCCTGGACTTGAAGCTCCACCTGTAACATAGAAAGTTCATTCGATGAGTTGGTGTCAAAGTGATACAGATGGACCAGAACACGTTTGAGTTGAACTCTGAGATGATTTGAATTTACTTATATTTTTTTCATTCTTTTTCAGGTATTCAGATTTGCCCAAAGTCACCAGCAGAAACAAGCCAGCTAATTGAGCAAGATGTACTCTCATAATGTAAATGATTT